GTCGCGGAGGTTGTTGCTACAACTGATTGCACCGCGATGCACCCATGGACTTACCACCCAGCATCCGGGCTCTCGCCTTCGGGCTTCTCGTTTTCGTCTTTCGGAGAAAACGACGACGCCACGTATCGCCCACAGCACCACGACGAAGCCTGCTCGCAAATTATTATGGTACTTCGCCTGCCTCTTGATAATTGTTTTTCGGACAGACTTTATGCTGCTACACATAATGGTTCACGGACCTGCCGTGCGTCGTCCGACGTTTTATTTTTACGCTACTTTCGGCCTCCGTGGACTCGCCTCTCGGACTACAACGTCCGCCGAGCCAAACAATATCCTCCGACGATTATAAATCTACTTTCGAAATTTTAACCCCGAGCTGCGCTCTGCTTTCGCCTTTCGTTGCTGAGATATTTTGCCGGAGATATTTCATACTTCTCGCAGGTCTCGCCAATGTTTCAAACTGAAGACGAAATTATAGGGCGAATCGTCTGTTCTGCGAAAATTTTTCGTCTCCTTCCTTTCTACATGAAAGAAAATAAACGCGCTGAAACTCGACGATTAGGCTGAGGTTGAAGAACATCGAAGAACTCGAGACGCTTGGAAATGTCCATCAACATCGCGCGTTAATGGGAAATGTTACTTTATTGGCATACGTTGAATTTTTGAAAAACAGACGTATAATTTGAGCGCGCGCATTAAATGGTTTTCTTATTCTCTTTCCTTTCTTTTTTTTCATCTGCGCAGAATGTCGTGGACGCGTCTATGCAGTTTGCGCAGTTACAAGTCAAACCGGTTTAAAAACCAGTATCGCGGATCCTATTAATATAGAGAATTTTACTTTTATTTTTTCGAGTTCGAAAAAGAAAAAAAAAAGAAAAAGAAATATATCAAAAATATACAGCTTTTTACTGTGATTCTAAAGCGTGCTAATTGCAATCGCACTTGCAACTCTGCTTTATAATTTCAAAGCACAAAGTTAAACGCGATTCTCGCCGAAATATGTTCCCGTTTCGTTTTACAGTGAAATACGTTCTCGTATTCTAAGCACAGTTTTCGTGGGACGAGCCGCGCATCAGCAAGGCAGATGTTTCACGAAAAGATACTAGATCGCGTTGATTTACGCTCCGCGATTCGCATTCGAATTTCAATAATGGCCGAATGTTGTTCAATTATCCTGTGAGAAACTCTCGGCAGGTGTGTAGCTTATCGCCGACACGATAGATCGGCCGGTAAAGAAATCCAGTGCTGCTAGAGAGAGGAAATCAGTATCGACGGGAAACTTAACCTCTTCGTGACGACTCGGCCGCGCAACGAGAATGTCATGGAAATGTTTTTCAAGAGACCAAGTAAGACTAACTCGATCACACTTGTGCAATAATCTGCCTTACGTAACGGGTAGCATTATATTATTAATAATAATGATAAGATTAGTCGCAGTTAGTCGCCTCGCGACGCGAAACAGCGCGTAACGATGCCTCGGCTTCTGCTGAGAACGAGTGTAGACCACGAACGAGAGTAGACCGTTGGAACGTTTAGTTTCCCGAGGTGAAACCACAGTCGTCTACGGAGTGTAGTGTATCGATATTGCAAACCAAATTGGATCACTTGTTCCACGATTTCATCGCATTCTACGACTCAGCCTACAACTGAAATATGGGCGCTGTTTCAAACGCGACATACTTAGGGCTCGATCTCAGCACACAACAGGTAAATCCTTTAAAAAAACATCTTTAGTTTCATGTTTTTTCTTTTTTTTTTTTTTTTTTTTTTCTATCATGCAACGAACGAATGATCATCACACGTTTTCTGCTCAATTGTTGAACACGAATGACAGCTCCATCAGTGTATCAACTCTTCTTCGTCGTTATCTCTCGTCCCTTCTGCTCCCGCATTTTTCCCTCCCGCCTTTCGTAACTTTACACACTGCGTGAAAGCAGTTGCCATAGCAATGGAACTAACAAATCACGGTAATTCGACATTTGTTATGCTTCGAAGAGTCGTCTGTTCGTTCGCTGGCTTTCACGATGCTCAGTGTTACTCAGCTTCCACTGCGCATCATCTATTGCGCACGCGTCAACGCGCGGCAACGCGCGTGTCGTTCAAATTTAGAAAAGTTGCCTGTTCGCTTAGAAATGCCTTGTTATTGACAAAAAAATGATTACCCGGTTAATTGTGATTGTGCAACGGTTGTTCCTCTTTTCGAGAATTGAAAATTTAATTAAAAAAAAAAAACAAAAAAGTCAACGGAGATCGAGTGAAATAATAAATATGGTTCTCTTTTGGTAATGTCAATTATCTATTTTCTAGAGTTACGAGCCACGATATTTTTAGACTGAATTCTAATACAACAATGACCAATTTAAATATCCATTTGCTTTAGTATACTCTCGAGTTTTTTTTATTACAAAACACAGATATCCGATCATTATAATCAGTCTTGATGAAATTTAACAACATTGAAACTTGTTTCTTACGAATATTGATAAATTAATTTTCAAGAAGCTACACATTACGATTTAATTTTTTATCGTAATGAAATAAATTATTTGGATTACGTTAATAATAATCTAACACGTTTATTAATTTTCAACTTGCAAGATAATTATTCTAACTAAATCAATAATTATTTAACACGTGAAGATAAATTCAATTACAGTTTGCTTGCTTACGGATGATACAGCCAGTATACCGAAAATTCATCGTTATTAATTAAATACAAGTGTTTTGCAGCTTGTGACGTACGTCACAATTATCTAACGGGTCACAATTATCTGACATAATGATAACATTAAGCAGTAGAATGACACGAGCAAGAAGAGTGTATCTCTAACGAAAAACATTAGAAGTGATGGGAATGATAATTGAAATAGCGAAATGCTTCTTGCTCGTCTTTTCAATCAAAAATGTATTAAGTAATTATGTAAACAAATTATGTCGTAACATAATCGATCCGTATAGAACATGATTTTTATCTATTTTTATCTCACTAACTCAATTTGGTGCAATATTAATCATCCATCGAAAACGGAGGAAAAAAAGGGAATTATAAATCAACTATCGGATACGATTTTTATCTGCTCGCTAACTGTGTCAGATTAAATACCATATTCATTCATTAATATCTACGGATTTTGCGTAATAATTTCTGTTATGTAAAACTATCGCTCACAAGTACCAAGCCAGCTGCTCGTTACATCTATCGAATAAATTTTGGCTTGAACGAAGCGATAGAAACTAGAAGCAGCAAAAACAATTGCATTCGTACTAATTATCGACAAATGTTTTAATATTTTCACGTGTGATTGATATTCTCGCGATGCATTATTACTGTTTTTTTTTTATCAAGTTATTATTGGTTTTATTAACGCATTCCCATTTCGTCTTAATCGCGATACAAAATAATTGTACAATTCGTAATTCTTTCAAGGCCGAATTCTCTTCGACTGGAACAGAATATTATCATTTAGTTAGTTTCGTTTCGTTATTTATTCTTGGAACGCAATATATATCGAAGGCTTGAATATTGATTTCCTTTCCTACATCAAACTAAGTGTCATTAATTCCAGTATGTGTGCAATACATTGTCTGTTTGTTTTCAATTCAAATTTATTTCCCACGTTTTGGATATAATAAATGCCCTTAAGCTTATATTGTCATGACACGATTCATGCAAGATTCATTAATTTTTAAAATAATGTCTTTTTCCAATACGTTGCATCACGTTTGCACCGAAATGAGCGCGCTTATTTCGCGATTCAATTTAGTAATGGCACTTCTTCGTCCACTTGGTTCCACTCGAGGCTGTAATGAGTGGTAATATATCTAGCTTTTTGTTTCATTAAACACGACCGGCAGTACATCAAACGTTGTATTTATGCACGTTTCGTACGGTAGACAGGAGGAAAAAAAAAAAAAAAAAAA